AAAATCTAAAAGTTGTTGATTTGCTTCTGTTGCTCAAATAAAGACCTCCCAAATTAATATTTCTTTAATATTTATAATGTACGGACATCGGCCTGTTACAATTTTATTATTTGTATATATTTCTCCATTTTGTGTACCTGCTCGTCGCTTTGGTAAGATTGCAAATATTTTATTGTAAGTGATTCTCTGGGCAGTTTGCCTGTTATAAGCATGCGAGCAACAAATTTGGCAGTAAGTTAACCCTCTAGTAGGCCAAATTTTTATGAGTTGAAAAATTCAGGAATGGGTGATTTTAGCACGAGAAATCCAAAACTGATGTCCATTTCGATCTGTGACAGTAACTTTTTCCTACAGGGGAGAAAAACCAAGACCGTCTGGAGACGGGCTCGCCGATATACTTACACATATTTTCAGCTTTCTCTTACACAATGTTGACGTACGAACCGGCAATGCCGTCTGCAGACAGTCAAAAATGCAAAACTGGGGTTTTATATGTCGGCAAGCCGTTCTGTAAACGGTCTGTGTTCGAAAGAAATTTTCTCCATTTAGAATGGTGACATAATTATAAAACTTATATTAAAATATGGTGCTTTTAACAATGAAATCCACCGAATTTTTTTATATGAAAAAATTTTTCAAAAGAAAAAATTTCTTTAATTACGAAATTACTAAATAGCAAGAAATAATTAATTTTAACCGTATTTTCAAAATCTGTAATTCAACTGCCGATTAAAATAAAACGGACATAACGGATTAAAATTTACTTCGCCGTAAGGGTACGATTTTTGTCTAAAGATCGTGCCTTACGAATATGGAAAAAAATTATTATAGGTGCACTAAAAAGGTGTTTAGTTAACGACCGTCTGGAGGCGGTTCTTCCTACTAGAGGGTTAAAGCACCGGTTATCTTTAACTGACAGTCTATAAAACGGCTCTCATGTGAAATTTTGATATAACAATAAAAATTTATTTCGGTACAAGTTAAGAACAGAGCCCATTCGGGGCGACAAATGGATAATAGTGGGATTCATGAAACGTCGCAAAGTTGTTGCAAATGACGCATTGGTTGCAAAATTTGCCACCTTGCGGCACAGCTGATTACTTTTGTATGGAAACTTTCTTGCAACAACAGTGTGACATTGCCATGTTATTTCAGCTGGCAATCATTGCAAAGTCAAAGTCGCGAAACACATGTTCTCTTATTGTCTTCGAATACTTCAAGAAAAATTATATCAGTTAAGGCTGCTTCGAAATATAACTGTATAAAGTTTTCATTTCGACTTACACGAGGCATTTTTAAAAAAAATTATTTTGCAATCCGGAGTTGCAATATGTCGTTCATACAACTTTGTTTGCAACGTTGCCACTTCGCCAAAAACGCCATTTTGTGACGCTATTAATATTAATGTGACATATATTAATAGTACTTTTTAGTTTTTCAGATTTGTCTCTTTGTTTTCTCAAGCAACCTTTAATTTTAAAGCTCAATTTATATTTAAAGGTTGCTTTAAAATTTATAGCTATGTCTAAAGTAAAGCAATTCTATTATCGGTTTTCGACGTCTCTTGGGTGTAAACAAATTAAAAACAGAGAATTAAATGATTTACTTTCGGCAAAACTACATATAAATTTTACATCAACCCTTAAATATAAAGTGAGCTTTAAATTTAAAGGTTACTTGAGGAATCGGCCATTTGTTTATCTGCCCTTCAAACACATTTTTCAGAACCAAATTTGTGTTTAAATTGTAGATAACTTTTAAAACCTACTTGAGAAAACGGTGTGTGTGTGTTTATGTTCCCAATTAAATGTTTTTTTTTTTGTATTTCGATGCCGTCCCAGTTAACTTGGAACAGTTGTTAGCATTTCCATTGACTGTCGATAGTACTATCGGTAGTAGCGCTTGCCACTATCGATAGCATTGATAGTATAGACCCTGCAAGAAGCCTGACCTATGATTATCGGTTAAATTATTGGGAAAACTGACTAAAACTTTTCGTCAGTTTAGCGGTTAGTTTTGTATGGGCTTGGGGAAAAAGTGACCACTTCTCCGCGCGTGTGATAATGCATCCCTTTCTTGCACACACATGGGTGCATTTGCCTTATAGTATTTTCACTCGCTCATACATGGCATCTAGTTGGTGATGTACAAGTGAGTTTAGCGACGAAACTATTGGGAAAATATCACGATAATTAGTGATTTTTCTGGCCACTATTCTAACTTCTAAATAATTGATAAATTAGTGAATATATGGCAGCGAAATATCAAAAATACATGCAACGAAATTAAAAAATGCAATTCGATTTTGTTTATGTGTTTGTTTTATTTATAAAAATATATTATCGCAAGCTTTTTTAGGGCTACTGAGCTCAGACAATTCTTCTAATTTTTCATCGGTTCTGAATTTTCGTCACAAAAAAACAAATTCTTCAGCGCTGTTTGGTCCTTCTTCCTCCATTCCTAGGGCTGGAGTCCCACGTTGGCGTTGCATTGAATTTCAGCACTGTAGTCACTGACTCCACAGTCGGCCTAAGCGCACTGGCCTCAAATGTTTTCTTCTCTATCCAAATACAAATTGAATACATTGGTTTCACCGCCTTCTTCTATATTTTGCACCACAGCTAACAATGAAGTAAATTTTTTTGATGTATGTATGTATGTACATATGTATGCGAGCGTACAATCGATAGTTTGTTCTCGATATGGTCAGCCATTTTTTGCAGGGGATAGTATCAACGAATACCGATAGTTTTTTTCTTAAATATGAAAACTATCGATGGTGGCCCTATCGATAGTTTTACAATTCTACTATCGCGTTGGTCTGCGCAGGCTTTTAATTGAAAAACACTTGTGCGTTCGATTTCTATCGCAATCTCCATCACTGTCGCTATCGCGTTGGTGTGCGCCTAGCTGAAAGCAACCAAATCCGACTGGCATTCTACATGCACATATACATATATATATTTGCATGCCATCAAGGCGAATTAATACAAGATGGTAGCAAGAATACAACAACAACAACCACATGTATTTTGTATTGCAGGCAGCGTTGCCAAAAAGTTTCGGCTATTCATCGTCAATTGAGGGAGAAAAATCGTAATTTTTAATGAAAAATCGTAATTTTTAATGAAAAATCGTCTTTTTCCATTTTGTTATTTTTTTATTAAAAAACATACATATGTTTACTAACTTCATTAATATGTATTAAATAATATTACTATACTACATACATGCATATGTATAATAAGCAAAATAAGGCGTGTATAAATTTACAAGACTGAAATCAAAATACGTACATATGTATACAAACATACATTTTGAATTTTAGTTTTACTGAGATGGTTTCATGGTTTTTGCGATCTTAGGATCGATTTTCAGTTCATAACAGAAGCATTTATTAACTGATAGGTAGTCTTGGGTAAATAAAATACCCTATAGAGTTCCACTCTCCAGTCTATTCCTGTATTTAGTTTTATTTAAATTCACTTTTGAGAATATGCGTTCAACATTTGCGGATGAACTGGGAAGGCACAACAAATCTGATACAAACTTAGACAACGTGGGAAATACATATTCAGTGTTTGCGCGTGTAATTTTAGATATTGTAGCCCAAAAGTCTTCGTAATTAATGTTAACCAAAGATTTAAAATATTCATCAAAATTTAAGTGGCGTAACTCTCTAAACTCATCATCTAAGTTCTGCATGTCAGCTTGAGAAATTAAATTTGGAAATCGGTTTGTTATGTTTTGTAACGAAGTGATATTTTTATTTAAAATCTTGCCAGGGTTCATAAAAGACAGTTCCTTTAAAGTTATATCGTTAAATTCAAATCTGAATTTTATTTGTTTGCAAAACTCTATGTAAAAAGCAATGCAATTGTTGGTGATTTCTTTTAA